AGGGAATATTATATGCACTCTAGAAGTTGTTTTCAGCATATCACATTACACAGAAGAAATTCTCCAGAGGATTCAGCTAACTTCAAAATGTTCAAATGCAAAGTGATCTCAAAATTCGCTCACAGAAAAAGATTGTATCCGGAGGTTCTCATATCATTAAAAGGTGTTTTCATGGTTTAGCATGAAAAATGACACTAAAATATGTTTTTTAAACATTTTGCTTCTCTATATACTTTAAATCTTAATCATAATCATAATGATCTCTAATATTAATCAATATACATCGCTCTTCAAATTTTTGATCTATTTGATTAGGTTTCTGTCCATATTCATCAGAAACGAACATTAAATTCATGAGGAGGTACTCAACATTAAAACCAATTAAATATAGTTGGAAACTTGTCATGACTCTGAAATCCGTCTTTAAATATGAAATAGTTGTAAGTATATAGTAAAAGGAAAAACCAAAAAATATGTAAACACATAAATTCTCATGTAGAGTTGAAATATCATACTTTTTATAATGGGTAATTGTTAAATTCATACTGCCGCATCTGAAAACCCAAACAACTTAAGCTATTAAACTCAAATTGTATTTTGTGATTAGTCAAATTAACTAACATAAATTAATTGGTCAGGGTTATTTATCTTTTCAATAATAAAATGTGTAGTAGCCGTTCTATTCTTGATTCATTTAAAAATAGAATGGCTGAGAAAATTTTGACCATGAAAAACACTCGTAATGTCTTCATTTCCAAGTACTGTTTTAAAACATCATATAAGGTTCAAGAATTGGTATTAACCATGTGTGATGAAATACACTATTGATTGCCTTTTTAACTATTACATTAAAAAGTTTTGGAGGAATCATTTGATTCTAGCAAAAGATAAGCAAAAATTCCTAAGTCAAAAACTGTATTTGTTAATACATTAATATAGACTAAAGTAATATTAATACAACGTACTATTTAAAATTAAGTCTTGTCTATTACAACCTGGCTTTTAAAGTGCACATAAATATGTGACTAGAGATTTATACAACATCTTATTTTTTGCATTAAAAGTAAGAATATGAAAATAAAATAAGCAGATTACAACTCTATTATAGTCAGAGCACTCACAGAAGTGATAATGCTAATTGATTTTGTATAAATATGAGAAGCTTTGTCCTGTGAAAAATGGGAAAATCAATTTTGTTTTCTCCAAAGAATGCCTCTTGAAATTTTACACAAGCTTTAGACTAGGTCAAAGACAATATTGGCAAAGCGTTTCAATATCAAATACATGTCAAATGAGAAAGAGCTCCACCATTCAAATTAAATCAATAGCTACGAATAAAAGCATAATCAGTTAACATTCTACATACACAAAATATGCCTTTGTAAACATGATACTTGTTTTCCATTTCGATACTATGTCTTCAAGAATCTCTGGAACCATAAATTTTCAGTTTAAACCAGTTACATTTACTCCTTCATGAGTGGATTAAGATAACAGAATAAAGGAGTTACAAAACACATCCGTATCATATAGGTTGACACACATTTTGGAAGAAATACTGAGAGTCAAAATGTGCATATGCACAGATATGTGTACACTTTCTCTAATGAGGTAAAGTCGTACTAAAGTGAGTATGAAAAATACACCTCTGTGTATCCTTAGTGATGTTTGAATTTTAAAATTTGAAATTCTAAAATAAAACATGTTTTAGTGAATATGTTCCAAAGTTAAACAAAATTTGGGTAAGTGTATGACTTGGTAGGTTAACACGAGTATTTTCAGAAAAATGACTAATAAGTATTCTTTAGTAGAGGATGAACTTTTTTATTCTAAATTCAAAACACTGAATCTTTTGGAGATGAACTTTAAATACTGCCCGCCCAAAAACACAGTAGTTTAAATGTGCAAGTGAGATGTTGTATAAAGATAGAAATTAACCAGGCAAATTTTAGGAACTGCAGAAGTGGTCATAGGATCCACATTTGCAGCTGAGAGAACAACTAGATAGATCTTAAGTATCCATGAAAGAAGATTGCCATTGAAACAAGTTACGACGTAGTGTTACCAACAGGGATGTAAACCTAACTCCTGAAATTATTTCATGTGAGAAACAAAAGAAACACGGTGCATTGTAGAGTCACCTAGATGAAAAATGTGTTGCTGAGACTTGCTAAGCAAGCAAACATGTTATTTGGTCAGAAAACGTAAGTGACAAAGAATGGAAAATTGAAGCATTTTAGTAAGATCTAGTAATCCTCATCACTAGAGAGATTAATGAATGCATTCCTTGTCTTCCACCACGCACTGTGAAAATATGCTCTGCTCTGAGAAAACATAAGAGATTTGAAAATTCTATACTAGCATGTGGACAAAGGCAAAGCCAGGTTTCCATCCAGGCTCTGCCACTTAATAACTATGGCATTTCAAAGTCTTGCAGAGCTCTAAATCAGGACAATAATAAATACCTGAAAACTTATGGTTATTGGAGGACCATGGTAGTCACAAATACAATGGCAACTTGTCATTTTAGCGCTGTGCTCTAGGGTGGTCAGACCATTCAGTGTTTGGGTTTCTCTAATAATTCTCTTTATTAATTTTCCATTTCTCCCACAGATGAAAAGCTTTGATACAGATATTTCCCCCAAGCCCACCATTTTTCTTCCTTCAGTTGCTGAAATAGATCGCCATAAGGCCGGGACATATCTTTGTCTTCTTGAGAATTTTTTCCCCGATGTTATTAAGGTATATTGGAAAGAAGGGGATGGCGATAAGATTCTGGAATCCCAGCAGGGAAACACGATGAAGACTAAGGACACATACATGAAGTTCAGCTGGCTAACTGTGAGTGAAGATTCAATGAATAAGGAACACAGATGTATCGTCAAACATGAGAAAAATAAAAGAGGAGTTGATCAAGAGATTCTGTTTCCAATACAGAAAGGTATGAGTATCTCAATGTAAATATAAACTTCCAGAAAATATATTAAGAAACCAAGTATAAGTCTTTCTTGAACCTCATTACATTTAATGTAGCCTGAATCCCTGGTATATTCCCCGAGGAATTAAAATGGAGAAAATGGTTTTGGAGAAACCAAATTGGAATTTTCTTTCTAAGATTCGGTAGCTTATTATAGTGTTTAATATTCAGGTCACGCAATATTTTTAGAATTGTTATATGGGTGAAAAGAAACAACGTGCATAGCAACACCTACCAACATAGAGCATGGTAAATGCCACAAGGCATTTCAAATTTGATGACCTTATTTGATTTGAAAATAAGAACAATATGCTGCTTTTAAGAATGCTCTATCATGGAAGTAAACAAAGTAACCTACTTCAGTCTCTCTGTGAATATGGATTTATCTACCATGAGATTTTGAATGACAGAAAGTTTCTCAGCCAAGGTTCCAGAGTGTGGTTCGACAAAAACCAGAGTAACAATGGTCACTGAGGTGTGATGGCAGCCATGATGTTCTCTGTGTTTATTTTGTACATTAGTGTTAGATAAAATCGTAATTTAAGCTTGGGTGAGGCTAACATAAGTGAACGTACATCCATTCTTCCTGATGACAACGTAAATGCAGCTACACAAACTTGGGCGGTATCACTAGCCTATGCCAGCCTGAGTGGGAACACGTGTGAATAGTCTAGGAAAAGTTAGTGTTGCAGGGTAGATGTGCCACAGCGAAGACAGCATCTTTTCCTAATCACACATGGTCATGTATGAGTCTGGCAGCATGTGCCAAAGAAACACCTTTGATATGGTGAGGTGCGTATCCACACAGCTGGGCAAATGGCTGACGGTACAGAGGAACTGGCTGTGGTCCACTTCACTGTGTGTCACAGTCCTGAATAGGAAAAACAGTGGAAGAGATCAGAGTGAGCATGAAAATGAATCATCTTGTTCTTTTCCCTGTGGCTAACACGCCCTTTGGAACTTGTGGGGAACCACAAATGTGAAAGAGCATGTGGGGACATTTGTCACCTTTCTGGATTTCTTGCGTAAGACTTCATTCTCTGTGTTCTTTAGTTTCTGCATTGACCCGTAAATTCTGAAGAGGCTCCTAAATTTCCCTGGGGCTGTGAAGAACACCAAATGAAAAATGTCAGTGAAAATGTTTGCTTTCAATTATACAGCATAGCTATGTTTATTTTATGCACGTATACATACATACGTATATAGAAAATGTTACGCTTATTTCTTCCCTTTAACTGAAGTAAGATTATACAAACAACCCTGATTTATTTCCGTTGGGAGAAAACAGAGTGGAGGGGAGAATACGCAAAGGGTAAGGTTAACATAACCATTATGCTTGAGTACAGTTACATCGAGTGTTTCTAGTGATCAGGGAATAATAAAAGAATAGTAATGAATATCGGGTATAGAAGGATCTAGCTTAGGAACGCTTTGTTTGGCATGAAATCCTAAAATAAATGTCTTTCATGGGCTTCCCTTGGCACCAATCTAAAGAGGACTCTTCCGTCAATGGCATTCTACGTGAGTACCTGATGCTTCGTCCTGAAGGTTTTTTGTTTTTTATAAGCTCTAAAAATAACACATGGAAGTACAAATCAATGAAGTGATGAAGTGGTTTGAAGGGAGGTGAAGCTGATTTGTCCCAAGTTTGGAAGCAACATTGATTCAGAGAATTTAGGATTTATATAGAGTTTATTTCTAGGAAGTGAACTTCATATTTCTACCTGAGTTCATGGAGATAGGGATTTTCATTTATCATTCAGTGAATACAGTCATCATAAGAAAAAATATAAATTTTTAGACCATTAAGACAGTTTTTAAGATACTTTAAAACCAAACATGACCATACTATCATTTTCATTCTTCTGAGTTTCCTCAAAGCCTATCCTCAAATCCATTTTTTAAGGAACACACACAAAAGAAATAATGATCTGTACAATTATGCAATGTAGGTATATTGGTATGGACACGTATATATGTACAAGAATAATAATGAGGAAAACAAACGTTGTGAATGGTTTTTCCAACCATTTTAAAATAATTTAATCTTAATTTGGGGCCTTTAACAAACCATATATGTATAAACAATATATGTATATATACATACATGCATACAAGTTTTATGCAGAGAAATAGAAATGTGAATTGGTCCACCTTGTTATTCCCAGAAAGAATTGCTCTCCGATCTTTTAACATAACAAGGCTATCGACTAAAAGTAATTAAGAAGCTAAAAGATTGAACAGGTTCACTGTGGGTGCAGCACTTCGTCAAGAATGCGTGTTGAAGCCTGTAAGCAACAAATATTCTAGTTTTTTTACTAGCATCCGTGTGTCACCTATTTTGTACCATGCCCTGTGCTAGGAGCTATGAATACAGAGGAAAAAGGAGTGTTGCATATTGCACTCCAGTTGTAATAAAAGAAAGAAAATGTAGCATTAATGAAGGTCAACATCTGAATGTTACACTCCACTTGTGACAAAATTTATCATGAATTTTAATATCTTCACATGCAGAAACAATATATGAATCATGTCTACTGAATTGCTTGAAATGAAACCAATTATTTTTTGTTTTGCAGGGCTGGCTCTTTGTTCACAGATTATATTCATGTATATATATATATATATATATATATATATATATATATGTATGTACACTCTCAAATTTCAGGCAAAATTAACTGACTGACTTGCGCTCTCATTTCTTTTAGTTAGGGCCACCATTAAGCCCACAGAAGCTGGTCTGGAAGATGACAGTGGTAAGTTTCAGTTTATTTTAGCCAATATGCTACAGCCTAGTTTATTTCCCCCTGGTTATTTAACATTTGTTACTTCCTAGCTTAAGGTAGAAAAACCAGAAGGATGAATGTTTCAGAATAGACTGGGTGACATTTTAAATTGCCTCATGGTTTCCATAGTGTCATATTAGCACAGTTAACTAATGACCTTGGTATGAGATGAGTATAAATTAGAGGATACAGAGATATACTCTGAACTATTTCAACAAAAGGACTTCATTCATTCATGTGTCTTTTGTTTATAATTACTGGAAAAAACATGATATCAAGTTGCTCTAGTATTATTTTGTAATCATAGTTAAATGTAAATCACCTCAAATTTTAATTAGAGTACTCGAAATGTGACTTGACCTCTTGTACTGTCTCCAAATGAATTGGACAGAAACCTTCAGCTCTTACCAATAAAACAGTCCTTGGTTAAGAATAAGTAAGATGCCAGAAGATTTTCTTATACTGTTGGAGATGTTTTTCATTATGGTAAATTTTATATTTCTATGCATTGTTGTTACAAAGTAGTTTCCACACACCATGTCTCTTTTAACCCTGACACCATTTTCTGAATACTGGCTCTGCCATTCATTGGTGAGAGTTGCCTACACTCTAATTTTTTTCCTTATTCATGATATGGAGGAATCCAAATAAAACTCAGGTAAGTATTATGGGACAATTAAATAGGATGAAGCATGTGAAGCATTGAACACAGCACTTGGCACAGCAGTGATAACTGGATAAGTTTCCATTTTTTATAATATTGTCATTCTCCTGTCCACAAACATGTCACTTACAGAAAATCTTATGCATGAATGCATGACACTGGGGAGGTGCATGATTTAAAAACATATGGTTGCTTTCTTCTGTGTAGATGATTTCTCTAAATCAACCGCCAGATATGTGCAATTCAGTAATGCACTCCAGAATTGGACAGAACCTTTGGGATACAATGCTTCTGCCTTCCGTGTATGCTAAAGCCTGAGAAGAGCCAATTTTTCCATTGAACATGCATTTGTGGGTCACTTACTTTGTGGCAACACTGTGCTAGAAGCTATGAATATAGAGGAAAAGCAGTCTTAAATACTAAAATTCAGCTATGATTAAAAATAAAAAATGCATTTAGTTTGATATCTTCTTGTGCAGAAACATGATATATTTGGAATTTCTAGGTTCATATTTTTAGTGATTAGACAGTTATGTTGTCTCCTGCCTGTGTCAAAAGACTCTCTCTCTACATATATATATATATATATATGTATATACACATATATGTGTACAAGTATATGTATACACATATAGATAGTTTCAAATAATACTCAAGAATAATTGACTAGTTCTTGCTTTCATTTCTTTTAGTTGCTACAAACTATTACTCTCAGAGAAGCCAGTTTGAAAGGTGAGATTGTGTTTCCTATCATCTCATGCTGTAGCATTTTTTTCCTCCTGATCATCTTAATTTTTGAACATCTATGGCTTAAAGCAGAAACCACCCTGGCTGGTTTTTACAGGATAGACTGAGCAATTGTATAATTTAATGCATCATTTCCTTGGTGTCAACACAGATAAAAACAGTTCTGGCTCCAAATATTATTTAGAGTAAAAGAAATTTTCTTGGCCTATCTTTCTAACGTCAAAAAGAACTCACTGAAATGCTCAGCCCATATAGTAATAAAATTGCATTTGTTAAGAATAATTGAGATGCTAGATATTCTACAGTAGACTTTAAACTAAATTTCTCTCTCATGACATGAAGCCCTTCAGAATTCAACTCACTTAAGTGTAATTGGGGAGTTAAGCGCAATGAATGCAAAGCTTTAACATAGTGTGCCTGGTAGAGCAATCATCAGTCGTTAGGAATTATCTTTTACTAATATTGATTGACTGTCGCTCCTGTCTGTCCAGATTGTATATATACAAATACATTTACATACATATATACACACTGCCAAATAATGGTCATAAATAATTGAATGGGACTTGTTATCATTTCTTCTAGGTGTCAATGCCACAGATCTTAAAGCTCGTTTGGAGGGTGAAAATGGTACGTTTAATGAATGTGGGTCTTTGTCTTATGCTATAGCATATTATCCTCTCTCTGTCGTCTTAATGATGTAACCCTTTGCTTAAGGTACAACAGTCAGAATGGCTGAACGTTACCCAATAGTTCAGTGACATTGAAAATTAATCCATAATTTTCTAGTCATAATAAACAGCATAGTCAATGAAATTTAATTTAATTTAAAGTCATATGAGATGACTTGAAATTAAAGGAGACAGTGAGATGCTCTAAACCATTTTAACAAAGGACCTTTACTCATCCATGTGTCTGTTTGTAATGGCTATGAAAATCATACCAATTTATCTAGACTTTAAAAGTCTTCTGGCTAGTTGATAAAATCACAAAGGGGCTCTAGTGAGTGCATTTTACACTTAGTACTCCTATCAATGATACAGCAGATCCCCTCATATTACAGATGAGGAGAGTGAGCTAAGATTTATTGAGTCCCTTGCACATGCCACACAGCTAGATCTGGGGCTCTCAACTTGGGCTATCACGTAAAGACTGCATACTCTTCTTCACATCTCTATTATTCTTCTCTTGACGATTCTATTCTAACATAGTTTCAAAGAGCCAGAAATTCTCAAGCCAAGGTCCCAAGTCACGGGCATCTGATTTGAGTGGGGAAGTGTCTACACGTCAGGGAACCACAGACTGAACTGAACCCCGTTGTCTGAATGTTCAGCTGTGTGCACATAGGCTAGTAACTTCCATTCATTCATGCTTTGACCATCTGCACATTGTGAACAGTCACCTCAAACTCTCAGTCGCTGAAGAGATAAGAGCCCAAATGTGAAACACCCAAACTTGTGTCTTATTTTGTAGACACAGAGTAAATTCTCGTTTCTGGCCACTTCATCCTATATATGAAACAAGAATGTGACTTGAAGCATTGTCTCCAGCTGTGGCTGTGCTGACATTTTCTCTGTCTCCTGTAGCCATAGGCTCCTTCCATACGTGCATGGCGATCCTCCTCTGACCAAGGACAAGGGGCATGAACACATTTCTTGAGAGCCTGTCTATGCCAAGGGCTAATGATGCTTGAGGTTTGACTCTATGAAGACTGACCATGTAACTGCGAAATTTTCCCAGGGAAAGATTTGTAGTTTTGATCCTAAGGAGCCACGTTGGCCTACATTCTTTGTTTTTAATATTACTTGCCATCTCAGATTTCTTACAAAGTTTCAAAGAACCTTGACTGCAATAATCCAATAACATCCACACCAACAAAAGACATTTAGGAAAGAAAGCTGTTATCACAACCACCAAACATCCTAGGGAACTGGATTTGACTATTTTCTGTTGTGTCCTCTTGTATAATCTCCCTGGAGCCAGCTATGAACACCAGCAAATTTCGATGAACTGTATCTCCCTTCAGATCTCATTGCATGTATAATCAGGGATGCATCTGATGCTTCCAGACTAGAAGTGCCACTTCACTTTTGTATGTATCCTTTTTTGTCTGGGATGTTTATTGTACTTGGAGAAGTAAACAATAGAGTAGATAAGAATATGTTCTTTCAGTTCGTGTTGCTGTGGATATAATCTGAAGTTAAAGACTTAACTAAACACATGACATCAAGCATTGACTTAATTCTGTGTCCTCAGACTGTTTGCAAAATGGAAATGGAAGTAATCCCTTCCTCCTTTTCTCACTCTCAATGTAGTTACATACATTGACTAAGACTAAACTTTCCATCCAAAGATGGCAGAATCCTATCTGAAATTTGGTTAGTGTTGTATTGATATTATCTCTAATTATTACTTAGAGACAGGGTAGAGTAAACAATTTAAAAACCTCGATAGCATACTTACTTTCACCCTCACTGGACTCATCAAGTAAAAAGGTGGCCTTGCTTTTTAATATTAGGAAGGTTCTCAGTGAATTTAGGAAATGTTGGTAATCAACTTGATTTTCAAGTGAGTCTTCCTCTTGGTGGTTCTACTGAAAGTGGTAGGTATTGACATTTGCATTTTGGAAAGAGGTATCACTTTAATGTAGCTCACCGGAAATAAGCATCTGAGAATCCATCCCAAAAATGTGTGCTATGCTGTTGAAAGAACAAGTGAGACTAACACATGACTTCTCTTAGATGTGTTTCAGCTGCAGCTTACAAGCACCTCTGCCTACTACACCTACCTCCTCCTGCTCCTCAAGAGTGCCCTGTACTTGTCCATCGTCACCTTCTGTCTGTTTAGAAGAATAGCTGTCTGTGATGATGTGAAGAGGTCCTAACAGATGGTGGCACAAAGATTCGTCTTGTCTTCATCAATTATTGTCCAAAACAGCATCTACAGAGGGTGTAGCTTGGCTGGCTTGCGGGGCTCTGACTCCTTAATGTTACAAGTGTATTTTTCTATCATTACTGCATTAGATTTTCCAACTCACAGCCCCTCTCGCATCCCAAATCATTCTGGTCCTAGTGCGCACAGCTCAATGCTTTTAGTTATGACCCATCACGTAGATAATACCCTACAAGCTTTCACTTCACAAACCCTGCAAAGCCTTCTTTGCCTCTTGAATTTGTACTTTGTTTTTCTTAAGAAACACAAGAAATAAAAATATTAAAGCCTGATTTTGTGCATGAGTGCTTTAATGTGATGAAACTGAATTGAAAGTCCAAGGTGAGAGCAGCATGACAAGGACTTCAGTATTGGATGTTGACAAGGGTCCAACACCACAGGCTAATTCTGTTCTTGAGATGGTGGTTATGATGATTTTCATGGGGTCTTGGGTCCAAGAGGGCCACAGTCAACTTCAGCTGTCCATGATACTGGTCATTCTAAGGTCACCAGGTTCAAGTTCATTTTGTTTGAGACATTCTGATGGCAATAGGAAAAAATCTAATGTGACTCACATTGTGTGCTCAGCTCTGTGTTGGTGTTTCACAGCATTTTGATTCTTGATACTCACCATGTCCCTATGAGAGCTGCCTTAATCTCAGTGTAACAGAATTCAGCACAAGTCTGAGGACCCAGACAGCCTGGCTTTCCATCCTGGTTGTGGAATTTAGCACCTGGGTGGTATCAGGTACTTGAACTTCCTGGGTTGTAATTTTGTCCCATAAAATGATGTTAGAATGACCCATCTCCTGGAGTTGTGTAGATTAGATGAGTTAGTAATGCTGGGTGCAGCAACTTCTCAACAACTTTAATATGTGTTCCTGACTTTAAAGAATGGACAACTGAGTCCCACACACACAGACACACCAGTGATGACATCTATTTTAGTTTTCTGCAGAAAGGATGACTGGGATGAACTAGACTTAGCTTCCACCATACAGCAGATAACCCATGATCCTCTTATCTGTCTGTGAGGTAGGTACAATTATAGGGCAGCATCTTATTTGAAAAGTTAAGTTACTTACTGAAGTTACTTGTTAAGTAATAGGCTTAATTTAAAGTAAGGTCTCTGAACCCATGTGTGTGCATGTATGCGTGCATGTGGGTGTGTATGTGTGTGTGCTCTGTGTATTTATGTATGTGTGTTATTTATCAATTGACATGTGTCTTTCTCTCAGCCACTTTCAATTGGGGAGGCAAAAAATAAAAAATGCATGGCTTCTTTACTAAATGCATGTTCCAATAAGTTAGTGAGAATTTCCTCCAGGATGTGTGTTCCCCTCACATATACTCCAGGCCACTGGTTTGTCACTAACTTTCCATTTGTCTTTCCTCTATGGATAAAACTGTGGTCTACCTTGGAATCGTTGAAATTTCTCCCATTGTTAATATCAAAATAGAAATTCTGCCTTCTGTTGACAGACCACTGTTCTTTTGGAGAGAGGGCTAATGAAATGAACTGTGAGCCTCAGGCACAGAAGGCCCCCGAATGCTGCGCTCTGGACGTGGATAGTGCTGTGACACCTCAACTTCTCCATGGACTGAATGGGCCATGAGGTCCTCAGAATCACCTTGTAGGAGAGTCTGGTGTAGTCTGGTGCATTGCAGAGGCCAGAGGAGGAGGATGTAGCCTTTTCAGTGCAGCACTTTTCCACTGCAGCACAACGGGCAAATATATGAAAGACACACGGTGGCATGGGAAGGTACAAGGGCCAGGGGCAACAGGTCACAGCCAGTTAGAACCCTGAATACTGGTCTGGCTCTATCTCACTGTATCACTAATTTTTTTATTTAGTAACACACAGATTTTCTACATACTTGTGTAATTCTGTGTGATGATTTTATGTATGTATACACTGTTTAATGTTGAAATTAAAGTAATTAGAATTAAAATAAGCTAATAAAGTTGATTTTCCTGGTTATAGTATATTGTTATATTCTGAAACATTTATAATTTCTTTGCCTTTGGAACAATCAAAAACATTTCTGCTACCTTTTTGAAACATACATCACGTTATTTTCTATAGCGCAATCTCAAACTGAACTTTGTTGATGTTTAGAAGAATATGTCCAAGATAAAATAATTTCAGGTTTATACACAAAGTCACAAAATCTGTGATTGTCATCTTATGAAATCATAACACCAGTTTCTGGTTAGTGCTTCCTAAGTACCAGTTAGTGGAGTAAATATATCTTGCTGCATTTTAATTCTCACCAGTACATTATGAGATATGCACGGTTGAATGTTGTATACAGGGGAAATTGAGGAAGAGAAGACAAAGGAACCTCCACATAGGTACACAACTAATAAGAAACAGGGCAGGGATTTGTCCCTAGTAGCTTGGCTTCAACAGCTCTTTCCTTACCTTCTGCAGATGTGAGAGTAGCATGGAAATGGGTTACTCTGCAGGAAAATCTTCTTCCTCATTAGGCTGAGAACTGGTAAAGAGAATCGTCTTCTTACCTTTCTGCATTTCCCCTCTGGATTCTTGAGCTGTTCTCACCTTAGAGAGTTAGAGACTAGCCTACAATACAGCTTTCATGCTGGGAAAACTTTTACACCCGCACTAATAAGAATTCTATGGCCCATTCCTTAACACGTCGGATGAAACAAATTCTGGAACAACAGGTTGCATCCAAGGCTGTTCAACTGAAAATGAGGAAAAGATTTACACAATTCCACACGAAGACAGTCGTGTCTCAGGAGTCACTATAGAGTTAGAGCACCCTGTACTCTTCTTAACAATTGAAAATCAGTTAAAGAAACTCCAAGTATTCTCAATTGCAAAATAAAAATGGGGGCAGGGGAGATTCCAGCAACAGTTCTCAAGACTTTTGCCATCATGTGTTCTCTCTACTTCTTTGGATTCTCTCCCTCAAAGACATAATATCTTAAAGCTTTTTGTCTATCAAACTGGCCATAACTAATAAAGTTGATTTTCCCTGTTATATTAACCAAAGTCCTATATAACTATAAATTTCAAATTCTATAACAAGACATAAGCAGAAATACCACACCAAGATGGTATTATTCAACTCAAAGACTATAAACTCAACATCTTCATGAGCTGTGAAAACTTATGTGACTGAGTGCGTTATTTTCACCTTATTGTGTTAGGCTACTTGTTTTGGGGTTTCTTGTTTTGTTTTGTTTGAATTATAACAAGTTCTTACCATTTAGGAATATCAGAAATTCTGTCCCTCAGTTGGCATGCCTTCCAATGCTCTCAGCTGCACCACAGTGCAGGCATTACTTCCATTATATTATACAAGGTCAGAGACATAATGTTCAACTCTGAGTAAGCCCTAACTTTAAATGTGCCCAATTCTAAACATCGAAAAAAGAGCTACTGTTAAATCTCCCAATGATAAACACCAAGTAATCCACAGCATGAAATATGCCCAATATGACCCATGATTTCAGGTCTGTCTAACCTAAGCCCTGTACATTCTATCAGTGGCTCTTCCTCTCCTCCTGGCAGTCCCTGACAGTCAGTGAGGCACCAAACTTAGCCCAGGCCAGGAACAGGAACTTAAAGATCTCTTCCAGAAACTCTAATGTACAGTCACGGTTGGAGCCAGCCAAGGCCTGAAATAGTTCCTGAACCCCAGCACACCCGTCCCAGACTACAAGCGTGAGTGGCCATGATGAAGCACCTTACTCATTGTGGAAAAGTCTCTGCTAGAAAGTGTTCGTACTACGTGAGCCACTTATTTTCTCTGGATCCAAATACATATCCTAACATCATGTGCAAGGATACTCTTTCACAACAGCATTTCCTGCAGCAAACCAAATTAACCCAAAAGCCCAATAAGAAATTACTAAACGATATCACCAGACAGATTGATATGCATGTTCTAAAAATGTAAAGTTTCTAAAGAAATGGAAAGTAATCAGGACATAATACTGAAATACACTATGAAGGGTATGTTGTCAAATATATTTACCTGCTTTAAAACACAAAACACTTATTTTCTGTAAATATTGATGTCCCTCCATAAATACGCATTATATGCATATATTTCCCTTTCCCTTGTCACATAACGATAGTATTCCAGTATAAATTATCTGGAAGTCTCTTTTCACTTAAAAATCTGAGTGAGAGCTTCTGTCATTTGAGTGGGTAGGGACATTTAAGAATTCCCAAGCTGCTTTGCTCAGAACAAAAAAACCGTAACTCATCACTTACTTCAAATGGATCCTTAATCTATTTCCAATCTATTGCCACTGTAAAAATTCTGTAACAAATCATTTTGTGTCATTTTGAACACGTGCATTTGTAATGGTTTAAGAGAATGCCAGATCACTGTTCAAAGAGAGCCCTGTTTAGCTTGTCTGCTTCCATGTATGGGCATGCCTGAGAGAGGCCTGTCACACTTCATGATTCTGTATTCTGATAGGTTTAATTATAGGATCTCATTTCGGTTTGAACTTGGTTTTTCTCTTATTATGACTTAAGGCAAACATCATTCGTGTTTCAGGTTTATTCACGTTCTTTTGCAGCATTTGTTCATGTCCTTTCACCAATTTCTCTGTTGAGAAATACTAACAACTGTGACAGTTGTTGTCTGTATATGTTCACTTCTGTAGGAAAATACATAAAACAAAATGTTCAAAATAGAGCAGGTTGGTGAAAAATCAGTGTGCCTTTTTCATTTTCATTAAGGAATACTACTAGATTTAAAACTTTATATATTTGAATTAAACAGTGACATTTAATTTAATACAACCTTTCTACTTTATTATGAGAAAGGTTTTGTTTCTTTGTTTACAATCAGCTTCAGTTTCTGTGAAACAGGTTCTTACAGAAACCAGGCAAAGGCTGTATTTGGAAAGACAATGAGAACGAGGCTCAAAAGACAACCTAATTTAATTTGGAGCTACCCCTTGATGAATATGCTAGATTAGATGTCCCTGGGCCAATTTTTGGCTCCTATTTAGAGACGTGGAACCATCCCTACACTGGAGAAGGTCAGACAGCAAGACAGGAAACCATCCATCACCCAGAGCTTCATGGGCCTGGTACCACTGGCCAGGGTGCTCGACAATGTCTCCTGTGGCCTCAAACCTCTTAGCACCTTCCTCCGCCTCACCAGTTGGGCAGGCCTGAACTTGAGCAGCACAGAGAGAGACAAAA